GGAATTAAGCATCTATTCATGGATATATAATTATCCGGTTTTTGTTTGCTTGTTTATTTTCTAAGGTTGCACTTGGTTGGTTCTTAGCGATATATATTTATTGATCCAAGAAAAAGGACCTTGAAAACAAAGAAAACTGCTGCTTAGCGGCCAAAGTAGAAGGAAAATCACCAGTTTAAATCAATCTCTTAATTCGTCCATAAGCCTTTCCAAAATATGTGAAGGACTCCGGCCATGTAGTAAATTAGCTAGAATTAAGAATTGAATTTTGTGCTGATTTCAAATTGGATGGTAACTTACAATGAAATAGGGGAGAGATAATTTAGACTCGATCTAATATTCATATAAAAATGTTCTTAATCAACTTAACTACAAACTCTTTCAAGATAGTTACAATAACAATCGACATATCTATGCTTTGGATTTATGTTGAGAGCATTGAGATCATGATATTTGTTTTCTTTCATCAAAGTTCAAACAATACATACATGGCTAGATTATAACTAAATGGTGTAAATTGAAGCCAACGGCCTACAATAATAAACCTGTTAATAATGTGTTCTTATTGGATGACCTGATAATGATCCGATTAGTATCATGTCGATCCAAAATTTATTATTTTCATAACGTTTTAGTATCGTGTTTACAGATCAGGTAAGAAATTGTCAGGTTAATGGAAACTGCCTCCAATAATCATAGATGGGCTAAACTGTAAAAATAAATATTCGGGACCCTACATGCACATGCATGAATAGAAAGAACCAAATAAGAATCCTAATGTGCGTGCGTCACGAGTATCATCATACGGAGGTGGATTGTCTGCTGTCCTATTTCCATACTCTTTTCATCTCCTCCTGTTTTGTGTGGTCACGGTTAAGCCACGTCAACATTTTATATTTCTATTACTTTTTGTTTTATTATTTTTATAAAAAATCAATATAAAATGTTAACATGCCTTAACCGTAACCATACAAATAGAAAAGAATGAGAAGAGTATGAAAATAGGAGGGCAGACAATCCACCTCCTCATCATACTGCCAATGACTGCATATCATCTTGTCACATGGGCTAAGTTCTTTCACTGGCCTACTGTGCGTGCGTCACGAGGATCATCATATTGCCAATGACTACATATCATCTTGTCACATAAGTTCAAAGGTGTAATTATTTATTGTGTCACCATTATCTAATTTGTGGTGTTTATAACAATAGAGTCTTCTATATAGGACATCATTTCTAATTTAGTGGCTGCTTAGTGGCCATTAAGGTTTGCCATTAATGAAACTATCCACAATTGACAATAGACACCAATAAAAAAATGTGTCTTTTAGCCAAATTTCTAGTAGTAGGAGTGTGAGCAGATTTACGATAATGCTCCTCCTGCTGAGAAATAATTACAAGTTTTACCAGCCAATTCTTTCCCTTGAAGCTTGTGCGAGGTGATCAAGCGATATGGGTATTTTAGACATCATCTACATGAGGGTGTCAAGTCTGAACAGATTCTTTTTGGGCACTCACTTTGGGAAATACTCATGTTTCTTAGGAAATGAACATTTGTTTTATCGTTAAAATTAACATGGTTTTTAAGTTATTATTTAATATTACGGTTTAATGGTATTTTTCTTCATTTGTGGCGAGATGTCTAAAGTTCAAATATCAAAAATGACAAGTCCGCAAGCCTCTATATGCGCAAAAAAGTTCATTACAAATTCATTGTTCAAATTTCGTTTTATTAAACTGTTGATATTTTTTAAGGAAAACTAATGAAAAGGGTTTGAAAACTTTGAGTTTTAATGATAAGGACAAAATAAAGGGTAAAGTGAATAGTACCAGGATTGACTTTTTAGTGTAAAAATGTGGCTTTTCGTTAAAGTGAACAGTACCGGGTGCTTTTCGTTAAAGTTCTCTATTTTTTATCTTGTATAGTGTTCTTTATTTTGTTTTCAATAAAATTGTTCTCTCTGATTGTTGTGCCGCCAACATTCATAAAAGACATTAATCGATTTGAAACACAAAGGAGTAAACGTACATTTTTCACAAATCATAATGACAATTGTGATAAAAATCCCTATTTGGCACCAAAACAATCAATTGGTCTTCACACAACCACTTAAGCATCATGTTTTTATTTCATGCATAATGAAGAGTGGATGAAGGATGATGAGCAAAGATGTATAAGAAATGAAGGGAAAGGCACACATAATGAAAACTAAAATTAAAAAACAAAAATCTTTGTTGAACTGTTTTCACTTTCGAGATTCTTTTTTCGTTCATTCTTTATTTCTTTTCCTCTCTCCCATCACCCTCCTTCATCTCTCCTTTCTCCCATATACTTTTGTCATATATATCTCAACACAAAATGTAAAAACGAAATAGTTATCAAACAGTCTTCAATCTCTTTGAAGGCACCTTTTTGCATATGATTGTTGTGTATGAAGCACATATACAAATGAGCGTTAATGTTTTGAATGCGAGGGGCCAAAGTGTGTAAGTTTTTGAAAAAAAAAAAAATTCTAAGAGAAGATGTTATTTGGTTAATTTCACCAACTAATTGTCCTATCTGCTGAATTTCATGTTTCTGCCTTCAATCTTTCTTTTAGAATTCTATTCGCGGAGTGCGAATATAAGGTGGGTGGGCAACAAGAATCGAGCATAAATTATATATTAGCACTGTAACCTCCAATTTTGAACCATAGTTAATATGAAGCTAGCTTAAAGTTTGAGGTAACAATTCGAAGCCCTTCCTTGTGCTTCTTCAAAAGTCATGTTGCACGATGATCCGATCAAGCATCATAAAATAACATTGAAGTATGTGTGGGGTGATGCCCCGACCCAGTAGATAACATTCTTTAGTTAATTAAACGTACTTGATTATCGCTAACCGAGTAGTTAATTCAGACTAACTCCATTACAGAATCACATCTCCAATAAGATATAAAGCATGAGTACAATGCATCGAACAAATGAAGAGTTAGTTTGTGCTCTTAAAAGAAATATATTATTCAATAAAGCAAGCACGATGTATTTCCTAGATAAAGCTTAATTAGAACTGATTATATATAAGATTGTGTATTGATTATGCTAATAAAGTATGAATTTCCGGTAGTTAAAGTAGCGCAACTGTAGAAGAAGATACTTTGCGAATCCATTCAGCAAATACCACAAAAAAACTGTCTCAATTTTTATCTTAATTAATGCTCATCTCTGTGACAATGAAGAACCAAGCTACGCACTTATTATATTCAAGAACATGGGGATCTTCTTAGAAACAGAAGCTGAATCATGCTTTCCTGAATGAAAAAAATATCCCCTCCCTCCTTTGATACGAGCAATCTCATATGCAGGAGTGAATATTATTAATGAACTGATATACAAGCCCCTACAAGAAGAAGTCAAACATACTGAATCTCAAATACACGTTTAGGTAAATTATAACCCACGGAATTATAAACTCATTGCAATTGTTTTCCTCTTATTATGCCTTCCCTTTTTTGCGTGTTTTGGTTTGTGACTTTAAGTTATAAGTGTTTTTAAGTGTTGTATGGGTTCCTTGAATGGAGAGTCTTAGATAAGGCTGTACTTTGAGCGAGCACATTTACAGAGTGTGCAACCATATAAACCAAGACTTTCCATCTTGTGCTAGCTAGGGTTTAAGAGAAGTTGAATTTCTTGGCACATGCCTTTTTATAAAAGCAAACAGAAAGATTTCAACAGCAACAATTATTCAACCCGGTCATTGGGTACATTAGGAGGGTAACATGCATGGTATGATTGAGGAAGTTGAAAATTACGTGTCTTCAGTGGATGGATCATGGATCAAAACAGGAAGAATGTTAGAATTATACTTTTGAGCAAATAAATTATGAACACAATTATGCAACCCAGTCAGATCGAATACGTAGATATATGGGCTGTGTATAATTATTGAATAATGCTAGGAAATCAAAATTTTAAATCAAATTTACAAACCAATATATGTCACCAATAGGAAACGTTATTAACATTTTAATAATAATTCAATCATCAACAATCACATCATTCGATTTATAAAATTTAGTTTAAAATTTTGGTCTTCCTAACATTACCCATAATTATTAGAGGAAATTATATGTATGTTAATGCGGCAAGGAATGATAGGCAAGTAAATCAATCTTTTGATTGACCAAAAATACATGAGATTTTTTTTCATTATTTTTAAAGTCAAATATACCATATTATTTATTTATTCGTGGCATGGGTTGTTCATTTGTGAAAGACATGTTCCTAGTGTCGGACAATGATTTTCACAAGCCATTGTTTAATCTTGGCTATTTCCTTTGATTTATTTAATTTGATGGCTATAAAAAAAATGTGAAAATCACTTCCAATAATAATAATAATAATAATAATAATAATAATAATAATGTAGGTACCTTCTTATTCATGACACAATACATTCTAGTTTTCGCTAACTACATTTTACACTCTTCAAGTTTGAGTCAATTACAAAATGAACAACAAAATTATCCTTTTTTCCACATTACATCATAAAAATTTTGAATCGTGTCAATTTATATCTTCAGATCATTTGACAGTTTGTTCCTTCATTAAAACGATATTTCCCTTTCTAACGTAAGAAAGAGGTTCGAGTTTGAATTTGTCAAACCCCATAAATAAAAAAGAAGAGATCATACCTTTGTATTGTATGGAGGACGAAAAGTAAACCAAACTTTAGAAAATAGAAAGAAAAAAAATGGGGTAAACTGCGGTTTGACACTCTATACTATTATTCCAGTTGAAATTGACCCCTTGAACTATTTAAAATCAGCCAATTAATCAATTGCCATTAGATTCCGTCCACCATTCCGTCATGTTCCTGTAATGACCAGAGAAATCATGCATAAGAAGTTGCAAATCCAACTGCCAAAACCCCCCATGTTCCTGTAAGAAACTGAAACGAACCAACTTCTAATCCTGAAATTGGGGATGTCCGCACATGGAACATGTAAAAGTTGACAAGATGATTGAACGGAGATTCCAAATTAATCGATAAATATTATGCATCGTTTAACAATCTATACAGAAACGCAACGATGAACTGTCAATTTCATCAGGTTCAGCATTCAGGTATACAGTGAGAGTTTAAAGTATGTACGTGACTAATTCCACCCTCTTCATCTGCTCGAGTTTATGAAACCTTCAATGCTCAATTGGTCAATCGACAGCAGATGACTCATTTTTCCGATCCAGTTCCTCCACTCTTATTGTGTCTCCGCACTACCATCCATCCACAAGTAGAAGCCCAGCTGAACAATCAATTTACCTGTTTGTCTGATTTAGAAAGGGAAAAAACAGAAAGAATCAATAACAAAAATTCATACAAATGCGGTGACAACCCAACTTAGCAGCCAAAACCTATTACGGTTCACAACCTCCCTGCCCCTTTCTGTGTTGCAGGTCACTTTTAAGGATCATCATTCAATGAGGACCTTAAAATAGGATGGTTTAGTTTATTGGACCACATTTCACGGCGGAAATATGCGAGCCCAATGTGATCCTTGCAAATGGGAATCCCTTCAGGAAAGGGCCTGCTACTGTAAATATACATTATCCAGAAATTTTACATGTAGTACATAATCGCGAAACAAGTTCTGAGACATTGAGCATGTTATGTTACACGACTGTCCCAGGACCAGATATTAAGACATGACTTCACTTAATCAACGGGATATTTTCACACTTTGAAAAGGGTATATTAATCAATATATAATATTTATAATATATATATATATATATATATATATATATATATGTATACCCGTCTATGTGTGTTCCATAAAAGTGGTACTACTTATGACACTCTCAGCTGTCCTACAGAATCTGAATGACTCATGAAAGAATCAGATAGAGGATCATTTTCTTTTTTATAAATACTCCAGTGAAAAGAAGTAACAAAGATTAAGACACAAGAATTAGAACAAGACAGAAGAAAACGTAATAACAGAGTTTTATAAATTATGAGAAACGAAATACAGATCTTTGATTTAAAAAGTAAAGAAATAATGCCGCAGATATATAACATGGCCCATTCAAAAAATCGAACATTCCTACCTTGTCATTGATCCTTATGTTCCATGAATCACTTTTGGAACCATATACATTGGAACCATATACAGGGTCACCAACGACATAAGGAGGTGGAAGAACAGCATTCTTTAGGAGTGGAACCCTCTCAGGAATATACTCATCATCACTATCATAATACGGATGTGGCCCAAGAGCTTTGAGTATCATTGCCAATAACAAAGACAGCCCCTGCAAAAGAAGACAACGAACGTTCAACAGAAAGAGGACAGAGAAAATATAAGGAATGGCCATGATCTGCAAACCAGATAGCCCTTAGCAGTGCGCAAGTTGTTACAACATTCCTAATTTTATCATTCTCTTCTCTAAATTCTTCTGTACTTTGTTGTATTAATAATCTAATAGTCATTCATATTAACAAAATATATGCAACAAAATCAGGTTTTTGACATGAACGAGTGAGAAAGCAAAGAAGAATATAGAGGCACTTGCGACTCAAAATCAATTTTGGAACTAGTTAACTAGATTAATATCAACAGTCCCCAAAAAGAAAATATGAGAGGGAGCGGTGCCCCCTGTGCCCATGTTTTCTCCGCCACTGGAGACATGGGTTGAAGTTAAAGGGAAATTGGGGTCATTTACCCTGAAATATATTTAAAACACTCGCCTGATTCTGCAGCTTCTACTAGTTCTAGTAAGACAAATTAAGTGAGACTCATTGAACATTTTAACTTTTATTTCCTCACAAGATGTTAAAAAAAGTTACAAAAAAGTAAGCACAAACATGCAGTACACAAAGACAGAAAGAGAGTGAGAGAGACAGACCTGTACACAAACTATTGACAAGCCAATCCATTTGCAGATATCAAAGTTCGACCTTACAAATTCTTTGAATTGATCAAATCTCCCAGTTGGATCATCTGGAAAGTCCTGGCCACAAGTAAAAAAACTATCAGCATTATAACCAAATCGCTAATATGCTTCTCTCTAAGTCATTAACCCATTAACCAAAAATAACTACACTGTACTTGATATATACCTCTTCCCAGTCACGGTTTAAAAATATGTCAGCAGTCACTCCAGCTTCAAGCATGAAGAGTAAGAAGACAAACACCATGTACTGTATGCAATTAAGGTAAAACACAGACATTTTTGTCATATATATTTAAAGATAACAGAGGTAAAAAAATAAAAGAAAGTGAAGCCCCATTGAACTGTACTCATTTCTACAAATGTTTTATGAATAATCAATATCTAAAACAAAATGAATCTAAATGATCTGAAATGATATGGCAAATATGGAGCTGACAATCTAGTTTAAAATCCATTAACTTCCATAGAAAGACAAGTCCATATGCTATGATGATAAATAGCACTTACTATATAATCTACCCACTATGATGAAACTACTGGACAATATGCCTTTTGAAATTAAAGTAATATCTATCTAGCTTTAAAGCAATATTTATCTAACGTAGATTAATTTTACCCTACTACCTCTCTTCATACAAGTAAGAGGTCGCACTTGGTGCGATGGCAAGTGCCTTCGCCCATGAGCGGTAGGTCTCGGGTTCGAGACTTGGGAGCAGCCTCTCCATAAATGGGGGTAAGGTTAGCCGACATTCACCTCTCCCAGACCCTGCGTAAAGCGGGAGCCTTGTGCACTGGGTACGACCTTTACCTCTCTTCATACAAGTACAACTGTAGCAGCTATTTCAGGTGTTCAAAATTGTAGATTGAAAAGAATTATCAAGCATGTAAGTATTGTCAAAAAACGATGCAGCGCATAAGCCTCCCCATTTAGAGCACATGAACACATTAACAGAATATTAAGAATCTAATAATGACATTTATAATGAGACGTGAACAAATTGTAAGGGAAGAAAGAAAAGATCCTGTTGCAAGCCTAATAAATATAATTAAAAGTTAATTTGAAAGAGAAAGAAAACACAGAAATACACAACTATAATCATAGAACAAAAACGGAAGAGTATCAAGCAGCAAAAGGATAAAGAGAAATAAATTCTTTGATCTTATAACTTGTGTTCTTTTGAGTCAGATAAGCCCATTTTAGCCCATTGTAGTGCTTTCTTAGAAGCACCTAGTTGATGCTTCCTAGGGGCACTTCCAAGTGTATTTACAAGAAGCACAAAAAATTTGAAAAATAAAAACTACAAAAACTATATATATCTAACAATGCTATCAGAAAAATTGCAGAGTGGAAAAATCACTTCCAGTTGAAGCACTCAGAAACAGATCCGTTAAGGGCTGTTAGAGTTGCTTAATTTAAGGTTGAGTAAGAAGAAGGCAATTTGGTGGGGAATGTGACGTTATTGACTCCAAATAATTGAATAGCTAATAAAGATATATGAAACAAAAGGATACCAAATAAAGGCAACAACCATTTGCAGTGTCAGCGGCGATATGACCTGAGCATGTGATCACAAGCAGAGTGATCCCAAGGCCAAGAAAAGTGTATATGAACCTGCAATTCATGCCAAAAAATAACATAAAAGAAGTTTTAAATCAGCACTGAGAAAAAGATTGTATACTTACATAAAAATAAATATACAATGCTGAGGACAAGACCAAATTTACTTCATCCAAAAAGTCAAAAACCAAGACATAAAATCCAATTCGCACCAAAATCAACTGCTACAAATGATTAAAAAAGCACTTCACGCTGAGGTAAACACTTGTCATGGTTCAAAGGAGAATACCTAAAGCCAGCGTTTCTTACTATTGCCCTGTAGTGCTAGGGGGAGGTGGAAAACACTGACAATTTGTTTCTTCATTGGCCAAATACATCGGAGTTGGAGTGGAGATTGTCGAGGAGAGAAAATTTGAGTTGGCTTGGTCCACAGCAAATGTGATGAAGCAAAGTTTACGGTTTTTTGGGTGTCAAGAAGGGACGACTCCACTTGAGGCGAGCGCGATGACAGTTTTCAGCAGAAGGGAGTTTTGCAGAACAATGTTTGGTTTTAGTCTGATTAGTGTGGATTCTGATCATCTTTGTTATACTTCAGATTTGAATGTCAGTTATCTCCTAGTCCTCTTCAATGCATAAGCCTCCCACCATCAGAAGTGCCCAAGCGCTAACTAGTAAGTAACTTACTATGGCACTATTTGAGCCCTCTCCACAACATTTTTCCATGACCGTTCATTTTCTAGATCTACATTCAAATACCATCCTTACAAAAATTCGTCCAAATCAGAATGATTTTCAATATCTAATCGTGACAAAGAAAAAATTGACAGACACAGTGATTTCCTTTAATCTTTCCATTTTTTCCCTCTCCTTTTTGCTCTCTATAAGTCGAAAAGCAAAGTAAAAGGCTCATAAGAATTTTATGCAAAAGAAACAAAGAGGCAGGTTTCAGTCAAAAAGGGGAAATGACCCACCATAGCAAATGATGGCAACCTCCTAAACAAGCAATTAACTTTTCAAACAAACACCAAGTCTAAGAAAATGAGAAAAGGAAACCAATACACAATTCAACAGCATGGAAAGCTTAAAGTCTGGATTCCCTTGCATTTCCCACATTTTCTCAGGAAACAAACAGACCCTAATATGAGAAAATCCAGAGAAAGGAAAGAAAAACCAAGATTAGATAGATTTACAAACCAAGGTGTAGGATGGTGGTGAGAGTGGTCGAGTGGTGGGGGGAAGTGAGGCATGTTTCTCTGCCACGCGCTAAACAACCACAACGAGTACATAATCATGGCGAGCCCTACCATCCCAATCATACAATTCACCAACTTGAGCAATGATTGCACGCAGCTCCTCGCCACCCCTCCCATCCTGTCCGTCTGTCTCCGCCCTCTGACCTACCACCCAATTCACCAAAATTACAAAAATTTGGAGGGAACCCAACGAAATTGAAGATCGGAAGCTACGCCAAAGAGGAGGATGATCGGAAATTCGACGTCCACCTTCGTTTCTATCAGTTTTAATGATCGCAAGGTTTCCGGATTTTTCGTTTTTCGTGTTGGACGGATTGGGTGTTACCGTGTTACCGTGTTACGGTTGGATACACGCTGGGTTTCCACGAAATGTGTGGGTTTTGCTTTCAAATTAATTGAGTTATGTAAGATAATATTAACATCTTTCATCAAAGAGGTGCTGTGGTGTAGTGGTTATCACGTCAGTTTTACACACTGAAGGTCCCCAGTTCGATCCTGGGCAGCATCATCTTTTTAATAATGACATTTTCTGTTTAAACGTCAAACAAGTTACACTCCTCACTTGTTACGGATTCATTGTTCCCAACCATAGGATAACGTCCTTTTAAAATGACATGGGCAGCATCATTTTTTGATAATGACTATTTCTGTTTAAACATCTAACAGGTTACACTCCTCACTTGCCACGGATTCATTGTTCCCAACTATAGGCTAATGTGCTTTTAAAATGACTGAAAACGTTTTTCCATAATTTGCTTGCATTTTTATTAAGAATTGGTTTTAAACAGGTTACACTCCTCACTTACCATGGATTCATTATTCCCAACTATAGGCTAATGTCCTTTTAAAATGACTGAAAACGTTTTTCCATAATTTACTTGCATTTTTACTAAGAATTGATTTCAAAAACATTTTCACCAAAAGCGTTTTCAATCATTTTAAAAACACATCCAAACAAGTTATATATGTCTTTTTCATGTCTCCTTGATATATTTTCGACATGTGTTTCTTAACTTAACCATTTTTATGACTTTTTCTGTTTACTAAACAAGTTCACTCCTCACTTGGATATTATGAAGAGATCATTGATAACGAAATCGAAATAACATTGGAAAAAGATAAGAATACCAGCCAAACATAGAACCGCCAGGCCCCAATGAAACTATCCCAAAAAAAGGTTAACCAAAGCTTTGGATAGACTGAATATGTGATAGAAAATAAGGCAGTTTGAACCTCTTCCAAATCTTTGGTCAAGTGCATAAGCATTGCCCAGTACTGCAACAGCTATTAGGACTGAACAAACCCATTTCGAAAATGATCGAGTTAGTCCCTGTGCCGTGATGGAAGAGCCGTGTACACCACACGAGACTGATTGCAACAAGGTTGTGACGCCTTCATGAGGACCGAATTGCTGTAACCGCCTGGCATTGTGAAACTGGCTGCAAATGTCACCGTGGCAACTAGTGTGGCCACCACTAATAACGTATTTTACCCTGTTCCTATGGATTTCCTCGTTAGGTAACTGAAAAAGAATGGAACCCAATGGACTAGAACTATGATCCTTCCTTTGGTTGTAAATTGTAGTAAGGCATAATCATCCGTAATTTTATAACAATAGATAGCACAGAAACTTACCCCCTGGTGTGATGCAACAATTCCCAAACTGCTTTCAGCAACGTCACGAGCTGTCATGACCCTACACTTTAAGAGCTTTATGTTGGTCCTTATATGCCAACCTCTCTATGATGGTACATTGTTGCCAAATGCAAAGGAGTATTTCCACCGTTGTCTTTTTGGTTTATCAACCTTTGTATGATGGGACAAACATAAAACATCTGGCCAAGCTGGAACATTTGTATCAACGAAGAAAAATGGGTATATGTTATATGAGCAAATTGACCTCAATATAAGAAAAATGCTTAGGATTGGAAACCAGTCCAGATGAAAACCCACCCTCATACCTTCATAGCTAAAAACACCCTCCAAATAAGTGGCAAAAGGTTCCAAAACCACATCGGTTTAATTATCTTCAAAGTCGGAAACACAATCAAGAGGGGACCCCTTAGGCAGTTTTTCAGATTTCTAATTTGAGAGTTGAACCCCTTTTTCCTTCTCCTCTGGGGAGGTAAGTTTAAATGTTACCAATCCAACTACCGAATGAGTGTAGTGAACTTCTATTTTCTTTCTGTCTATAGATTAAATCCCCAATGTCTGTGGATGTGTTGGAAGGTAAGGTCTAGGATTATAACCCTCTTTTCTTAGTTCTAGAAGAAGACTGTTGAGCAATGAATATATCTGAGCAGACTCTGGGTGACTCCCATCTGCTGCAACAAACATATGAGTGTTGTTGTTTACCTCAATCCAACTGTACCCAGGAACCTTTTGAACTTCTCTGTTTTTCATTAGCGTTCGAACCTTCAGCACACTCCCCCATTTTCCAGCATCAGCAAGTATATTTGAGAGGAGTATATAATAGCCAGAATTTTGCGGTGCCAATTCAAAAAGGTATCTTGATACCTCTTCTGCAAGCTCAACATTGCCATGGAGCCGACAGGCTCCAAGCATTGTTCCCCAGACACCCGAATCTGGGGAGAATGGCATGCTCTTTATTGTTTCAAATGCTTCACGTAAATGTCCAGCACGCCCTAATAGATCTACCATGCAAGCATAATGCTCCAACCTAGCTGGGATCCTATATTCCTCAATCATGCAACGGAAGTAGAGAATTCCATCATCAACTGCGCCTGCATGGCCACAAGCAGATAATATACCAAGAAAGGTGACATGATCGGGCAAGATCCCTTTACTCAACATTTCATGAAACAGAACAAGAGATTCCTTAAGGCGACCATGATTCCCATAAGCAGAAATGATGCTGTTCCAGGAAACTTCATTCTTCTCTTCCATCATGTCAAACACACGGCGAGCAAGATCTAAGTTTCCACATTTGGCATACATGTCTATCAGTGCACTCTCAGCAAATAGATCGGAACTAAATGCACTTCTAATCATGAAACTATGGATCTCTTTCCCATAATGAAGTGCTGGTAAGTTTGCACAAGCAGAAAGCGCAGCTGAAATGCTAACACAGTCATACTTGGCACCTTCCGTCCCCATTTGACGAAATAGATCTATCGCCTCTTCCGGTTTGCCATTCTGGGAATAGCTTGTTATCATCGAGTTCCAACAAACAGCATCCCTTTCAGACAGTCTTTGAAAAACTCGATGAGCAAGATCGAGTCTTCCAGATTTTGCATACATGTCTGTAAGGGCACTACCCACATAACACCTTGCATCAAGCCCATGCTTAAGGATGTTTCCATGCAATTCCTTTCCAAATTTCAGAGCAGCCAGACCAGCACAAGCTGGTAGAACACTTGCCAGTGTTAGAGAATTCGGTCTCATTTTCTCTTTAAGTAACCTTCTAAAAATTTCCAATGCATCACAATTCATCCCATTGAGAACAAAACCTGAAATCATAGCTGTGCAGATGACAACATCCGTTCTGGTGCTTTTGCTGAAAATTTTACGTGCCATGTCCACATTCCTGCACTTGAAGTATACATCAATAAGTGCACATTGCAAAAACACATCCAAAGGCACGCAGTGCCTTACAATGTAACCGTGAATTTCCTTACCTTGCTTGAGGCTACCTAGTTCAGCAACCGAAGGTAAAAAACTTGCAAATGTGATCGAATCAGGTTTGACACTTGTAGATATCATGTCCTGAAACAAACGTGAAGCCTCAAGCATAAACCCACTTTGTATATAACCAGATATCATTCCATTCCATGTCACTAGATCAGTTCGAGGCATCATATCAAACAACTTGCGGGCATCAGAGAAGCATTGGCATTTAGAATACATTGCTAACAATGTATTAGCCACTGGAGAATCCGACTCCAACCCACATGCAACAACAAGCCCATGAAGTTGAGTACCAAAACCAATCATAGCTTCTGAAGCACAAAGAGACAAAATGCAAGCAAACGTCACTGCATTTGGCTTAACTTCACTACTTCTCATTTCCAAGAACATTCTAACAGAATTATTTAATTGTCCATTTTTAACATAACCATGAAGCATAACATTCCATAAAACACAATCTTTGATGGGCATTTTAACAAACAAGCTCCATGCATCCTGAATACAACCGTTGTCCACATACAGTCGAATCAAGGAGCTCCCCACAAATATATCAACTCCAAAACCCATAAACTGGATAGTATCATATACTGCTTTGCCCAATCTTACATTATTCACACCACCACAAGCTTTAATTACACTCAAAAAAGTGTACTTGTCAGGTGAAACTCCAGAACTCAGCATCTTAAAGTAAAACAGCAAGGCATAATCAAAGTAACCCATCATAGTAAACCCTCTAATCATCGAGTTCCAAGGCAAAGTATATTTCAAATCAAGCTGATAAAACATGTTCTTGGCGCCCATAATGCTCCCGCAGAGAAAATACATACCCAGGATCCTTGTCCAGACAAGGCTGTTTTTGACAAGTCCGCTGCAAATAACATGTGCATGAACTTGTCTACCTTGTTGGATAAGAGACTCATCATTGCAAGCTTGCAAGATAGAAGCAAACTGGCTTGCCAATGCCCCTTCCAAATTAAGGGAGTTTTTGTAGTTTGTATGTATGGACTTGGACCATTGTGGTGTAATGTGTATGAAACGTTTGTAGACTGGACATATAATTCTACTGTACATCTCTTTTGCGTTGTAAGAATCATCTTTGTTCAGAGAGTCTCCGACATATCTTTTCTTTTTTACTTTTGCTTCCTGCTTATTGTTCTATATATTTGAGCACGAGCACCCACAGTCCACCTTTGTCCAATTACTTTGATGTGTCCAAACTGCCTTCCTAGTCCCCAAACACACCAAAAATCCAACTCATTATTGTTGCAAGTTCCTCTGCAATGTCAGTAGAAACACGTAAAAATTTGCACAATGGTGGCATAATATTCGCCTATCACATTATCACTATTTGTTACCTATTACCCTAAACCCTCCATCTCCTTGGTCATCTTTTCTTGTTCGCATTTCCCTTCATTTCTAACCCAAAAGTGAAAAAACAAAAAAAAATCGAAACAGTAATCAAACGGGCCCTAAGTTTTTTCTTTTTCCAAGCCAAAAACTCTAAAGAAATTTCTGCAGTTTTGTTGTTTCTTTGAAATTTCCCAAGCTTATGGAAACTACTAAAACAATACGACCTGCCCCAACTGTGTCTGAGAGGATCTTGGATACAGACCTCCCCGAAGATAAATTTTAACATCACCAACAAATTTGTCGATATCTTGGATAATAAATAATCATGGACTATTCATAAACATACAACGAAAACTAAAAATTAAAAAACAAAATAAAATAAAACGGAAGTGCATTGAAATGTAGAAAAGCAGCCAAATCCTAATTACCAAACCCTTAACTAAAATCTAATACGAATCCTAACCCCAAACTAAAACCCTCTGATAAAATCGTAATTTGAGAATAAACGAGAAAGTGAAGGTAGAGGATAAGACATACCTAGGTCAGTACAAGTGAGAGAGCTGTGAGCTTATAGGAAGGAAGGAGATGGTTCCCGGGAATTCGAAAAATTTCGGAGATGAATCTACAACGACTGGAGAAAAATAGGCGGCCTCCCTTACACGAAGATAACTAACACACTCGAAGAGAAACAGAACAAAAAACGAAAGAAAAAAAAAAGGTTATATAATTGAGGGAAAAATAAAAAGAAACGACGCCTGAGAGATTCGAACTCTCGCGGGGAAACCCCATGTACTTAGCAGGCACACGCCTTAACCACTCGGCCAAAGCGTCTTTTGTTAAGCACCTGTGCATTTTATATATAATACTGCAAGTACATATCCAGTGGCAGTTTGCACAACCTTAAAAATCCTTTGGATTTGGAGGACATGTTTCCAATCCCCTAGCTTCCTTCCTATCCCCATAATTCTCTCTGTTGCACCACTTTCAAATCCACCACTTTATTATGCAGCTCCCAACATTGTTTCAAATGCTTTTGTGATGAACTGAAAGCACCCATGAAGCTTCTTCCCAGGTTCGTTGTCGTTCAGAAGTTGGCCATAGCAGTATGCTCTGTCCGCCCTTCACCCAAGTTTGAATCCTCTACCCGTAAATTAAAGTAGTTTAGAATATCGTATTTTCGAATTTAATTAAATTAATTTTTTTAACAGACTCATCTTTTTAGAAGAAGTTTGAAGTCAATGAAAAACGCAGAGAGCACAGCACCCTATCTAAAAAGATGTCTCCCAACAGTCACATCTCATTCTCATACCTGTTGCGAACATACATAATCTCACTATATATACATCCGTCTGCATGACATTTAGAACACAGAAAGCATAAATCTCCTTCTATAATCCATAGCATTCTTACTGAGAGTACCACAAAGAAATTCGTTAGTAGTTAAGTTTTCCGATGCTGGAATTCTAACTTGATCGTTGAATCCTGGTGAAACAGACGTCCAGAGAACTACAAACAGTGAGTAGGGGCGAAATTTCTGTTTCAAGGACATTGCGGTACGCAAGCCTCGATCTTCAATATTTCTGTTTAATATTAGTTCATTGTTCATACACTGTTTATTTATTAGCATATATAAATTTATCACAGATTGTTGACATATATTCAACAAAACAAACTGACCAAAATGGACCAAAGGCAATCAGAAACCTGGATGCATATATTTTGTTGCATGGCCTGATGACTTGGTTTGCTGACATGATTCTGCAGCTGACACTGTAGTACTACTTAGTGAGTAGTAAACACACATTTCAGGTAACGAGATGGCAGGATTTCAGCATTTTTATGTTGGCTGATGTTAGGTAGCGGCGAATGATATCATAGAAATAGGATCTCAAAACTGCATCAGACAAGTCTAATACGTTTCCGTTGTCAAATTCTTCTCAAATTCTTATTACATCTCATTCATGTTTCTCTGAACGAATAGATCAGCAGTTTAACAATGTTCTGGAAATGCTGTTCTCTTTCAAGTAACTTACTTTACACCGTGTCGTTGCAGGATATAAACAGCCCTGTACTGAAGGAAATCTTGTTAATTAAGCAGCAACATCTCACAAGCTGCTTGTGTTCTCGTATACTGCATTGTCACTCCCGTGCTGGAAGAAACTGTAAATTTGGTCCACTATGAATGGCAGTCTGCAGTTTTGAAAAGCTCGGCTATTTTTAGTGCAGCTCACTCATCTGGTGAGAATTTCTTACAGTTGTTCATCATTGGATATGTACTTGGATGTTCTTATTCTTGGACCGGAAACTTGAGCTCTCACTCGATTTTGTAACCACTTTAAGTAACTCCCACTATATTTGAACCTTTCAGTTTCAATAACATAAACCGACTGGCTCCAACAAGTGAACAAAATAACTACATTTCTATTCTAGTTTAGACTAATGCTAATATTCCTTGTCAAGTTGGTGCATAAATATCGCTATTTTATGATATAATGAGGAGATGTAGACTTAAGCTCAAAGCACGACCAATAGAAAAAATACACATCATCTCCTTGTTCTCTCTCTTCCTTTCCCTAAGCCTAAACGTCAGGCTCGATGATTTGCTGTTCTAAATTCCGTGTCTCATTTGTGTCTCTTTTCTAGTCATTTGACACTGGTCGTTCAAGTTAACTCAAAATTTAACATTGTTAGTTTGTTAAATTATCATAAAATTAATTAGAAAATAAAAACTGAAAATTAAATATAAATAATAAAAAATAACAACCACCCTGGCCTTCCAGCCACCGACCCCAACCCTCCCCCACTAAGCAATTGCTCACCAAATTCCAGAAAATGGTAAAAAGAAACGACGCCTGAGAGATTCGAACTCTCGCGGGGAAACCCCATGTACTTAGCAGGCACACGCCTTAACCACTCGGCCAAAGCGTCTTTGGTTGAACCCAATTTGTAAAATAAAGTGCATAAACTATTCGTTAGCCATTTGTAGTCATTCTTTAAAGTTTCCACCAAATTGTAGATATTTCTGTCAAAATATTCAAAAAATCAAGGACCGATGCGAAAAGGGATAGGTGAAATGAAAACTTCACTCTATATCGGCGAGATATGGGAAAATCAATTAATATCGACTATATTTACCATATTTACTAAATAAATTTTGCCACAACTCATTACAAATTTCAAACGTTCGAACTTTTTTGAGAAAATTTTCTCTAATTTTGACTAAATTTGAAAGTGTTGATATACATATTCCGTTGAAAAATTCCATAATTTCCGTCGAAGTCAACCATTATCGATATTTCTTTAAATTTGCATACTGATATTTTTACTTTTATTGATACTTTAAACACTATTTAAGCCTGGAATAACAGAATGATAGAATATCATTGGCAACTGGCATTCTTTAATTTGAAGCTGTTATGATGAAGTTTGAATGGGGCCATGGACCATGGTGATTTCAACAAGTCATAATTATGTTCTGTAACAGAAATATGTGATTTGAAGGAATCATCATATTCTTCTTTTCTCTATTTGCCAACCTCTTCCCTTTGTATATGGATACAGGTCACAAAGTCATTTCCCCACTAACATCCACATGATAGAATAGGGTTACGCCACAACGGTTTTTGCACACCTCTTTTGTTACAAAAAATTTAAGGGAACTTTAACGAAAAACTCTCGGTACTGTTCATTTTAACGAAAAACCACATTTTTACACTAAAAAGTCAATCCTGGTACTATTCACTTTACCCTTTATTTTGTCCTTATCATTAAAACTCAAAGTTTTCAAGCCATTTTCATTAGTTTTCCTAAAGTTTAAACCATTCCAATAGGGCTGGAAGAGAGCCAATCAGTGATTGGTGCGTCTTTTGCTTCCAAAGTCTTCGTCCTTACCCATTTTGCACTTCTCTTCTGTGTACAACTTTTCACTAGTTTCATTGATGGTGACTTCTTCGAATGAAGGAGGAAGTTAGTGGGAAATAACCAGAGTAAATCAATCAGAGGTCAGTCCATCCAGGAAGGCCCTAGATTTGTATCATGATTAGTGCTTGCACATGTATACTTGCTTTCCAACATGACCTAAAGATAAGGTTCTTTACTAATGTACTTTATTTATTGTATAACATTGGACCTTTTGTCAAAGTTATGTCATGATAAGATTGGTTTACGGTATAAGATTAAATTATCTCTCTCTTTCCTATTTCATTTTCCAACTTCACCAAATGTGAAAATGGAGAAATGTATTTTTCATGCCTTAGGAAAAGTCATGGAAAATTATTCCCACAAACTCTTTTTTGCGTATCAATCGCATCATAAAGGGAAAAGAAAAAAGTTTGAATTCATAACGTAAAGAATTAAAAAGAAAGAAATCTAACTACTATAACCCACCACCAGATTCACCCACCACCTTCACTTGGTTCTACTCAATGTAGCATTAAGTATTTAACTTGTAACAATTTTTATTTTCTCAAAGTTGGAACATGCCCATGTTTAATTATTTTTAATTAAGAAAAACTAATTTAGATTAAATGTATTTTTTCTTTTTCTTTTTTGATCATGGCCTACAACTTCATCAAGTTATTTTGAATGGAGATGAATTGTCTCCCCTCCCCATTTGATGCCCTTCTCATCATCTTCTATTTTTGTGGTCACGATTAAGCCACGTCAACATTTTATATTCTCATTACTTTTTGTCTTATTATTTCTATAAAAAAAATCAATATAAAATGTTAACGTGGCTTAACCGTGACCACAGAAAATATGAGGGAATGAGAAGGGCATGAGATGGGAGGGTAGACAATCCATCTCCATTTTGAATTGGACACCGTACTGTAGCAACGATTCGAAACTTATGAGCAACTCAAGAGTCATGGTCTAAAATATCCATAATATCCCGATATTTCCATCGAAATTTCCGTGTTTTTAGACTACCGATATTTCCGATATCATCGATATTTTAGACCTTGCTAAGTCACTCATGTATCTTACCATGCAATGTATAAAGTATAAAATATTGTACTAATTCATTATATATAAATGATTATGGTGTGTTTAAACTTTTTTCATTAATTATTACATATTTTCTACACTCACAATGTTTGTCAGCTCGCTATATAATCAACTTAAATCAGTTATATCTATCATGCAATGCATTTCCTTCCATTTTTTTGTGATAAACTAATAGATAATTGACTAAATAAACATCCTGCAAAGTTTCAATAAAAATTTCCAAGTTTTTCTTACAATTTCCGTGGTTTTAATTCAATTTTTATCAATATCGATAATATTCCGATATTTTCATTCAAATTTCCGTGTTTTTGAACTACCGATATTTTCGATATCATCATTATTTTATACCTTACTCAAGACCCACCACTTCGTGTCGACTAAAACTCCAAATAAATTACAAACGGTTGTGGTCCCATATAATAAAATAAAGTCATCCTTATTCTTACCCTGCAATTAACGTCGGCTAATCACGCATTGATTACGATTAAACCATCTCCGTTGGATTTCCGCCACGTGTGATGCGTGAGTTGGATCCGAGGCGGCCCCCTTTTCAAAAGAGACGTGACCAACACACAATTACAGCACCTCCTCTTCTAACCGCAGCAGCACCGCCATTGTTCCCCCATAAAACCCCGCGAAACCAAACCTTTCTCTCTACTCTCTTTCTCTCCGCTCTCTTTCTCACTCTAAAACTT